GGCGGTGGAGCCGGCGGCGGTGCCGCAGCTTCCGGGACCGGTTCAACGAGCTGGGCCGGCAAGGGGCCTGCTCGTCGGGGTCGAGGATGGCGCGATTGGCGTCGCGGCGATCCCACTCTCATCAAGGGCCTGTGGAAGTCAAAGGGTCCTCTAGGTAATTAATGAATTTATGTCATTCTTTTCTGCTTGTGATCGGTTATTGTTGCAACAAACGTTTGTACTCGTAAATAGTATTGCGTGATGGAATCCTACTGTCTAAATTCTTCGGAGTGAGATTTATTCCAAAAAGTTTAGATAGTAAGTCACCGATGCTTTTTTTTGTTAAGAATTTGTCGAAAAGACTTCGAAATCATTGATACAAATAATCGTAGACATAAGATATATAATAGATAGACATATAGATAGAGCATGATGCGAGACCTGACCCTCACGTGTGAAAGAGAGACAACTCGGATCTCTCTTTTCTCTCTAGTAGATAGAGAACAACCATTGTTAGAGAAAAAAAGAAAGAAAGAGAGACGACAGACTTGAGTTGTGTTTCTTTTTTCTTGTACGTGAGCAAACCGCGTGCCTGGTATGTTCGGTCTATATATTATTGATGCTTTTCAGCAAAGGCATAGCGTAACATAATCTTATGTTTGTTTAACATTTGCAAACAACAAGAATGTAATGATTCACTGTGTTACACTGTGTCATCTGTGTCCCTTGCTGGAAAGCATCCTAAATATACTATGTCTATGCAAGTGATTTTTCATGTAAGCTCTTCACTTCATTCATGGGAGATTTGAAGGTCTTCCTTTTATTCTGTTTTAGCTGCTTTCGCACAGGCATGAAGTTTATAAAATTTGTTGCTAATTATTTACATAGGAACATTTATATAGACTTGCTTTTTTTATAATTGTATTATTTTTGCCTGTTATAATTAAAACCTTGCATGAATATATCTTAAATCTAGTAGATAGCTTTAGATTTTCCTTCCGTCACGTTTGAGATCAATTTTTAATATATAGATTTAAAATTGTAAATACTCGCAGGCTATAAATGTCATTAATTTCAAATAACTCGTATGTATAAATATTTTGCTTGCGAAAACCCACGTCATCGTAAATTATAGGTACTCGTGCACATGATGGTGACATAACGCGGATACAATTTATATTATATGCTCGTCGACTTCCAGCACATCAGTTGGTGGTCGCAATTTGTTGAGGAAGCTTTTTTTGGTTTACTATTTTAGCGTAACAGCATCTGCTACAAAATCTTATATTACGATAGTCGAACCATAAAACCACGACTTGCGCTGTGGCGTTGCAATTTTATGGAAGATAGTTTGCCCGCTTGCGGTTACGCTTGAATGCCACACGTAAGAAAATTTTTATACATGTCAGTAAAATGATCGGAATCTCAAGTCATGTCTATGCTCGTCGTGATCTTCCTATTTTTGAAATAGAACTTTTCAAATTTAGACTTACGCATTATTATGCGTGTCCATTGTTCGAAGTTCAATCATGTTTCTCTGTTATTATGAAAGATTGAGCAGAAAACGAGAATTGTTTAGCAACTTAGATTAGAGTCTAATTAATTTGTGAATTTCACTTAAGAATTTTTCGCTATTTTATCGTGAGCGTATATTACATGACAGCAATGGTTTTGTTTTTTTGCTACTGCCGGTAGTAGTCGTTCACTGACATCGATGTAAACCCGGGGCTAGTGTAGGGATAATAATGGCGACGGTTGTGAAAAATTCATGAAGCGAACAAACGAAACCACGTCGTTCTGCTCATGTTCTCCGTTAGCTCGAGCCTGTGTTTTAACTTTCAAATACAACCCTGGCCGAGAAGAACCTCCTTCGCTTTGGAAATTTCAAATTTTCATCACAGATTAGGACTCCACCGAATCGCAAAGTTCCTTGACATCTAAAATTGCTTGACCTTCATGAAAAAGAATGAACATATAACTAATATAATATTAATTCTTTATCATCATTTATATAGCATGTGAATTTATATATCTTTTAAATGTTAAACTGATTGACAAAAATAATTAATTTTTAATTTTAAACTTGTAAGTTTGCATGCTTGTATTTGTTCTGAAATTAAGCTCTTATCCTCTAACTTCTAATGAGTGTTGGTATCATTATATTGTCGTTGCATAGCTTTTATATATATAAGGTAATTAGGGGGAAGACGCCATACTTAAGACTTTATTCTTGAATAACTTCTTAATGTTATTGAATTAAGTTATGAAAAAAATATTATTAATATTCTAGAGATCTTTCTTTACACAAATTTATAAATTTAACATTTAATATTCCATATTATTGGAAAAAATTGATATATCATACGTTGCAAAAGTGGTATTCCCTCTATATGTGTGGGTAAGATGCCACCTCTAATGGAAGAAGATGTTACAAACAATTAAATAATGTGATGCAATATTAATTTGCATATTTTACTTATTTACAATCCATAATGAAGAATTTAAGCTATAAAAACACATAAAGGTATGATAAAACATAAATTGAGGAAATATGAAAGAAAGTAATTTAGAAAGTAAGTTGGACATACTTTTATTCGTTTAAACAGCATTTCATTAACTTAAAATATTTCGATTATATAAAGCATCCAAAATTTTAATTCATAAAATCTTTTTAATAACTGTTTCAAGCAGGAAAAATTGTGTTTTGTATTTACTGTCATCTTGTCCCCAATGTAAGAGGAATATTCAATTGCAATTTTTACGCATATAAGATTATTACAAATTATAATCTATATCATCCACATGACCGCCAGGGAACACTGATTGAAACTGTATATTATTTGTCCGGTTTTACAGTAAGCATCGACATACAGACCTTAGCTATTAACATACCAAATATTACAAAGAGCATGTTTCACGACCTACCTTTTCGTATTTCGTATAATCTTTTCCAATTGACATTGGCATGAACATATTCATTTAAAACTGCACAACTGTTTGCCACACGTTTTTGCACAGTCAGTATAGTTAACGCGCGTTCTATGAAAAAACTATAAATAAAGTGGCGTCTTCCCCCTTATGACATCTTCCCTCGAATTACCTTATATAAAATCTGTGTAATGAAAATGTAATGACACCGACGCTTGTTAAGAGTTACCGAATATTGGCTTTAGTCACTGATATCGAATAGGAGTTTGAAATTAATTCTGTAATTAACATACAGAAATATTTATGGAATTATAATGCATTAAAAATATCAAAAAAAGTAAGAATGTAATATTTTATATACATATATATATATTAAATTTATATTATTTTATATTAAATCAAGGTCTTCTTTTCTGTATAATAACAGTTAGAGAAACTGATAATATTTACGCAGCCATATTTTATGGTATATATTGGAATATGATGTTGGAATTTTGTTTTTATCGAATTCAAATCAGCGAATTTGCAATCTGCCAGCCAAGCAATCGATTAGTCAAATGTTCAGTTAATTAAAACTCCTAAATGTTGCTCGGCAATCTGTGTTATAACTACTACAGTTTGCCGAGATTACTGGTTAAAATAACTGAACTTCTCTTGGGTCCATTAATGAAAAACAAGCGAAAAACGTATTGAATCTAAGGGTGATTTTCGGCTTTTATTTTTATTTTCGAGCTGTGATTTCTTCCATATAGCTACGCTATTCCACTGTATTTGATTTTGCTTTGATTTCACAAACTCTATCGTACATTTCCCCAAGCGCTGTATAACATCTGATGCAATTAATTCAATTGTACCGTATATGAGGACTTGAGATAACAAATTATACCTGAAGGGGATGAAGCAACAAGCATGTATATTAGCACCTAACGTGCACTGACGATCCTCCCATAATGCATGCGACCTTTTAGCCTCGAAGCTGTTAAGCAAAGCTTAATTATCCCCTTGACCTCACGCACGTTTGAAGCACGTATCGAATGCGCGTTTCACGAGCACGTCATGTCGCGTGTGTTGAACAGATTCGCTGGGACAGGCGGAGATCTACATCATTGTGGCTCTCCTGATCGGCTTCTTCACCGTGGTAATTGGCTGCTGGCTATCCGACAACTGCTGGTCGCCGGAGCCAGAAGGCGTGGTCACTCTCGCATAGCCTAGTGCCGACTTCCGTTCCTCTAGGCGATAACAACTACTACGGCGCCCCTCATACAGAATTCTTCAGGACCTCGGCCGCTACTCAGATCATCGTAGTAACGCATCCGATAACGTCAGCGGCAATCATCGACCGCTGCTCCGGTTGCTCGACATCAATGATAATGACACGTTATTACGCGTATGAACACCACGCGCACGCGGGACCTTCTTCATCGAAGAGGTATTGTTCGATCGACGGCATCTGCGAACCAACCTCCTTCGCAAGTTCCTATTTCGCAAGAGACGAGTTTTCTAGCAGGGTCGGTTTTTGAGCGTAAAAAGAAACGTCAAAGAAGAAAATGAAATTAAACGAATGAACTGTGAAGTTTTTCGCTCCGTATTACATATCGATTCTCAAAGTCGCAAGTGTACGAAATAATTGCATGTCATATTCACAATGACAATTGAAAATTGGCATATATATATATATTGGATTAAACTAACGAAAAGATATATTGCCGATATCTCATACGAAGCAGGTGATGGTGGAGCTCATTGTATTTAATCGAGATGATCTCTAAGACTGACTCCGCAATTGTAAGTCAGTTCCTTTCGCGTCGTTATATATATATAAACGATGGAAGAGATTTTTTTAAACTCAATAAGATAAGTGCTTGTGCAGCATGTTTTGATTCAAACTCTCTAAATTTGAATCAGTAGATAATCACTGATTATCCAGTAACTTACTTGGCACTGGGTAATCAGTGAAATTCAACTAAAAAAGAAAAAGTTTGAGCATTGTATAATTAAAATACCAATATTTGCGTCATTTCCAATTTTCCAATATCATATGCATTGAATTTATTCATTTAAAGCAAAATTAGCTAGGTTAAAGACTCCACGTTTCACTGATTACCAGTGACATACTTAGGACTGTTGTCAGTGATTATCTATCGATTCAAATTTAAAGAGAACGTAGATGGTTCTATTACAGCTATTGTACGTTCTATTATATGTAATTAACGATTAATTTAATTAATGCCTAATTAATCAGGCATTAATTGCGCGTCCAGCGTATTATTACGGAGTCCGAAGTACTCACAATGAATATCAATATAGAGGCTATTATCGCTTGTTATGCAATCAAATGACAAGCTCTTGGACTTGGAGATAATTGATTCCGCTTGAAGCAAGGTACAGTATTAAGGGAGATCTGCCCGATAATAGAAAGGGAGATATCTTTGAAGTAAAACATCTTGAATCCATTTTCTATTAATACAAGCGCCATTTGTCATAATACACGTCGAAATATACGAATGAAATCAACGTTCTCAGTCCATCTTTTGCTTCTTTTACGATCAGGAAATTTCACCGATTGCTTAAACTTCTAAACGCGACTCCGAAGATTCGTCCTCATTTCATCAGCAGACTTGTGGCTCCCACGTCGAATTTTCGAGTTAAATCGCCTTTACGACCGGCAAAATTACGTTTTCCAATTTTAAGGTGAAGCTAAAGTTTAGGTACCTTCATTTTCCCCGTCGTGAAATCCGATCGGGCTCCGCAGGTTTGTATGCGCGAACGGAACGGACGAATTGCGGGAACGACAGGAGCCGACAAAGTTCTTATTGCGTTAATACGCGAAGTTGCTGCATCGGACGGCGACACGCCCGTGCCGGTGGTCGCAACGAAGTTGCGAGCCGTGCACAAAGTCCAAAATGGGTCAACAACCCGTGGTCATCCCCCTCGCTCACCCTCGCCGAGAACCCGTAACATCATTAAAGCACATTGCATCGAAACGAGCAGCGCGTTCGTCGATTCTCAGTACACGCAGTTCGTAGCGTGAATAACGACTCGCCCACATGTCTTAATCATCATGTTGCACGTTTATGATGTCGACCGCGAAATCCGTCGGGAATGGTTCTGATCCGTAGTTAGCTCTCGTTGAATCCTAAGTGAGTTCCTGTCTGCTATCCTCTCAAATTTCGACATTCGACGTTCTATATTAATTTTGTTATCAATTTCTCATCAGTTATTAATCGCTTCATCCATTATTTTATTATCTAACTTATCGTATCATTAAAAGACTGTTTTTCTCTTCTTGTGTATCGTCACCGGTGATGATGGATTGTCGTGTAATGTAGTGTCGTGTAAAATCAAACTTTATTGTTTTCAATTGAAAATGCAGCGATAATTGTACATACACTGAAAGCGCAATTGAAATTACAGTGATAATTGTGTATCGATAGACTTTCTTGTGAAAATCCGACATAATGTAGCAATTTGAAATGAAAATTTTTTTATGTCGGACATGGATTGCTAAACGTGCTACTTTAGATAAATAAATCGTAATCGTTATTTGTAATATTTAATTCTTTATGCAATACCAACAATTTATCTAATATAATATACGGTTATTGGAATATCACGTCAAGTCCAGAATTTATTTACGTCATCAGATGTTAATTACTTCGTTACAGAAGCGACTAACATATTTTAGGGGTGTATCGGTTATACACTTAACTGAACTATAGAAGTGTTAATTATCACCGTATAGAGCCGTAGGATCGAGTATTGACTTAACGACGTCAGGGATGGCTCAGTGCGATTAACTGAGAATGTCGGAACCGTATTGGTTTTACTTTACAGCACACTTTACACTACACGTATTGTGCAGTAGACATAGTAGAATTGTTTGCACGAGCTATACCACTGGATTAATGAAATCCAGTAAACGAAATACAGTTGACGATGTTCAGTTGACAACTTCTGTTCAATATTAACACGAAGGTATTCTTGCGACTCACGTTTTACTTCTAGAACTCCATACATTTTTAATAATAAATTCTATTGTCCCTTTATTATCTCAGTAGATTTTTAATTTAACTTTTAATCCGATTTTATTATAAAACATTTGTTGAAACTTTTTTTTATTCAATAGTTCTATTCATTACTTCATTTATTTTTTTCCATTCATTTTAGTTTCTATAATTAGTCGATTCAAGATTTTTATTTAATAAATAAATTCTTTGAATTTTTCTTTAAAAGTACGAGTCTAAAAGTACGATACGAGTCTTAGGGATTCATTTTTCCAACTTTAATAAATTAATAATGTATCTGATAAACGCAAATATTGGAAGCTTTGTACCATTTGATTAGTTCTCAATGGAATCATTGCAGCGGCAATGTAATATACGTATTTGAGAAAATGCCGCATTTTTGCAGAAAGACGAATCTTGTTTGCAAGACCCATATGATCGTGATTTCTGCCGTATGATTTTATTAGTCAGCACGGCGATGAAATCCAGTTAGTGAGAAAAGTTAAAAACGCGAACGGTGATTTCAGGCGTGAATATCTCTAAGCGGCTCACTTCAGAATCCAAACCTTTACAGTAAAAATATCAGATAATTATGGGTCTAGATTTACACGAATAATAAACAAAATGCGATGTTTGTTTCGATTAACGTAAATTAAATTTAATCTACCAATGTGGATTAACATTAATCTCGATTTAATTTAATTTTCATCTTTTTATATTCTTAGAATTAGAAAAAGATGAAGAGTAAATTGAGATTAAAGTTAATCCGTGTTGGTAGAGAAACGGACATTAGCTTTACAAATCTACAATTAAAATAAGAGAAGCATACTTCATGAAGTTTCTTCATTTAAATAGATACAAATCTAGCTAAGTACTTGCAAGTATTTGATTTCCTATTTTTAATTAATTATACGTCATATCTTAACCAGTTCCTTTTTTATCTACACCGAGCTGTTAAGAAATAACTACGTCTATAAATTAATTAATAAACGTTACTTTCATTTGACGCAATGCCAAAATGAAATGGTAAAACTTTTAAGGAAATTTAATATTTCAAGTTGACAAAAATCTGCGTGTAAATTTACAATTAGATAAATTATTTTAGAAATGTCGACTTTCCAATAATTTGATGCAGTCGGCGCCACAAAGTAAGTGATTAAATACTGCGAAAGTTCTTTTTTAACCTACGGCGAATTCCAACATGTTAATATCGCGCTTTCGGTCTGACTGAAAAATTGGAAAAATTTCACGGTGTCACGTAGATTTGATGCACTCGGGCATTTGCGAATGTATGGGCGTGACGTAAACGCGAAACAACGAACAAGATGCAGATATCTAGATGCACGACAGTAACAGACAGCACGATATATCACATCATTCGAAAGGGACGCGATTGCTGTCGAATCAACCATCCCCGTTCTTTTTTTTTCCTTTTTTTTCCGCATATTGTCCCGTGCAGAGCGAGCGGGCCGCATTGACAGACTAATTAACCCGGAAACCTCTCCACAACTTCCTCTATGCCGCGTTTATTTTATCTGTCGCTCGAGAGCCCGCGGGCGCGTACATACACGCACGGGGTTGATCGATTAATTGAATTTTGATGCGCTCATTGTCAGACAGGCGGCTGATGATCTCAAAGGGCCAAAATTACTTTCCAAGCAGAAATTTCATTAAAATGACCGTCGCATTAATCTTTGAATAGAGACGTGCAACGTGCATTTCTTTTTGACGTTGAAATATAATATTAGAAAGAAATATATCAATGAAAACATGATAATAATAATAATAATTCTTTCTGCCTTTTTGGAAGAAATCCATTATTTTTAAATTTATTTTATAGATCTCATTTATCTTTATCTGTTTTATTCAGAATTGTTCGAAACTTTGCCATCGAACAAGCACAGTATGCCTTTGTATTCTCTTATAACAAATTTTCATTATCTAAACTGTTAACCATTTTTACAGAAAGATCAATATTCTTTATTCAAATAATATTTTTAAATCTACATATATAATAGAATATATTTTTATTTGAATTTGATATTTTCAATTCGCTTGTTAATTTTGTTCAAATTCTTTGTCTTGTAATAGAAATACAATACGATTTGTTATTAGTTCTGAACTCTTACAACAAATTGCGAATTACGTTTACATTATTCCGACTGTTTAAACTATCTTTAAGTATCTCGTAAAAAGATCAATATTTTCATTTGAGAAGTTCCAATCTCTCTTATAACAATCTATAAAATTGCTTAAATCTATATATGTACATAACAGAATACATTACAATCTTATTACACAATATATTTCTATTCGAGTTTGACATTTTCGATTTGCTTGTTCAGTAAAAATCATCAAACGAGCAGCGCGGAATATCCCGGCGGTATCCGAAAGAGCTAATAATCAAGACCTGCCACTGGGGCTCTTCCGTCGATGAAGATCCCAGTGGCGTTTCCAGCAGGCGACATGAATTATAGAGGTCGGTGTAGCCTGTGCAAACCGGACTGTGTTCCCGGATACGATCGTCGCCGTATCCGTGCGCACGTATCCGC